GGTTTAAAAAAAAAAAAAAGGGGGGTTGTTTTTTTTGGGAAAAATAAAACCCCAATTTTTTTTTTTTTTAAAAAAAATTTAATTTTTTTTTTTTTTCCCCCCAGAACTTTTTTTTTTAAAAAAAAAAAAAACCCCCCCCCCCGGGGGATTAAAAAAATTTTTGGGGGGTTTTCCCCCCGGGTTTTTAAAATTTTTGGGGGGGCCCCCCCTTAAACCAAAAAAGGGGGGGTTTTTAGGGGGGGGTTTTAAAACCCGGGGGGGGGGTTTTTTTTTGGTTAAAGGAAAAAAACCCCCGGGGGGTTTTTTCCAAAAAATTCCCCAAAAAACCCCCAAAAAAAAAAAAAATTTTTAAAAAAAAATTTTTAAAAAAAATTTTTAAAAAAAAAAAAAAAAAAAAATTTTTTTAAATTTTTTAAAAAAAAAGGGAAAAACCTGTTCCAAAAAATTAAAAAATTTTTTTTTGGGGGTTTAAAGGGGGGGGGGTTTTTTTAAAAGTTTTTAAAAAAATTTTTTTTGGGGAATTTTTTAAAATTTTTGGGTTTTTTTAAAAAAAATTTTAAAAAATTTTTGGGGGGGGGGAACCCCCTTTTTAAAAAAAGGGAAAAAAAAAAAAAAAAATTAAAAAAAAAAAAAAAACCCCTTTTTAACCCCCAAAAAATTTTTTTAAACGGGTTTTAAACGGTTTAAAAGGATTTTTTAAAATTTTAAAAAAAATTAAAAGGTTTAAATTTTTTTTTTTATTTGTTATTGAGGAAAAAAAAAAAAAGAATATTTAATACATAAAAAATTTAAATTTTTAAATTTTTTTATAATTTTGTCATTAAGGAAAAATAGATAAATACATTTTCCCCCTATATTAAAAAATGAAACACAAAATTAAAAAGTGTAGTTTTAAATTTAGTAAAAGTCATTTCCTTTAAATCAAACATTCCCCAAAGGCCCAAAAAAACACTTACCCCGGGGGTTATTCCGTGGGGGGGGTTGACCCCGGGAAAAACCCCCAGGGAACATCCAGGGGAAGTGTGTTTGGGGCCTATGCTAATTTACTTTTGGAATGAAAAATACTCAAATACAATTTTGTGTTCACCCGGTCTGAAATCTACTGAATTTTTTTTCCTTTTTGTTTTTTTTTCTGCGTTCGGTTTGGGGGTCCCCCGCTGTTTGTGTGGGGTGAACCAAAGATGAAATGTTGATCTTCCCAACCCTCATGATCTCGTTGCTTTACGGATTTTTTTTTTTTTTTTTTTTTTTTTTTTTTTAATTTTTTTTTTTTTTTTTTTTTTTTTTTTTTGTTTTTTTGGTTTTTTTTTTTTTTTTTTTTTTTTTTTTTTTTTTTTTTTTTTTTTTTTTTTTTTTTTTTAAAAACCCCCCAATTTAATTTTGGGGAAGGGGGGGGGTGGGCAAATGGGAAAAAACTGGGGGTTTTTAGCAGTGATAAATTTTGGGGGGCAAGGGGGTTGGGAAAGTGTTTTTTGGGGGAACACCATCGTCCCTTGGGGAAATTTTCCCCCTGCCCCCGACCTTCCCCCCTCAACACCTGTAGTTTGTGGAAAACCTGGGACCTCCTCACAAAACCCCCCTCAGGTCTACAGTAACTCCATGGAGTCTCACGATTTTCTTTCAACCCTCTTTTTCATTTTTATTGGGGGGCGCGGGGAGGTGTTTTACACTGCTACCCTTTGGGGGTGATTCTCCCCGTAGTGGGTTTCATTTTTACAACCACAAGACCCCCGGTTCCCCACCAACGTTTTGAACACACCCCCTTGACGTTTTATTTGTGGCTCTCACGCCCCCCTTTTTGGGGTCCCCAAAAGGGGAAATTCGGGGAGAACATAAACACTCTTGTGGGGGACTCGTAGCGGCCCCTTTGTCATGTAGGTTTCTCCTGGGGACAGGGTTTTGTTGTTTGGGGGAGCAGCAAAGAGGTCTGCACCAAGTGCTGGGCCTCATCACCAAAAAATTCTCTATCACCCCCCATCCCCTTCTTTATGTCATCATCTCTTTTCCCTCATGCCCGCAAACTTCTTCGGGGAACCCCCCTATTTGGGGGTTTTCAAAAATTGGGCAAATGGAAAGGGAAGGGTTCCCCTCAAACCCCCAAAGAATCATATTTACCTGATACACTGTTTCAAGTGAAAGTATTTACTCCCCCAATATTCACTGAAGGATTTTTCTTAGAAACTTTTTATTCTTCAGGGGGAAATTTTTGGGTTGAGCTTGAGGGGAGATCCTGACTGTCCCCAAATTGGGGGGTTGTTCTGGGGTCTCCCCCCACTTCCTGGCTCTTTATATATCATTTTCTGTCGCGGGGAGACGATTTCGGGGAAAAAGTGAATATTCTAGAATGGGAACCCTGACTTTTCCCAAAAGATACAAACATTCAAAAAACTTTAACCCCAAACTTATTTTAGGGTTTGAAAACAGTGGATAAAAAAATTTTTTTAAATGGTCCCTTGGGGACAATAATCTTTTCAGCCCAAAAAAAAAATGCCCTTATGCGGCTTTAAATTAAAAAAAAATAATAAAATTGGGGGATCCTAAGTAAATTTTAAAACATATCGCTAAGTATGAAAAATTTATTTAATATTTAAGTGTACCTGTAAACCCCAATTAAAATCACTTAATGGTACGATTTGCTTTTTTATTCAAGGTTAAGTATAAGATTACTTCCCCCAAAGTGAAATAGAGGAAAAGGTCACCAAAAAGTTTTCAAAACCCAAGAAGGCCCAAAAATGAATTTTTTTCTTTTTTTAAATTTTTTTTCAGGGCCCCCCCAAGAAAAGACCTGATTTGGGTGCTTCCCCTTTTATAGTTCCCCCTTTATAAGTGAGTAGTTTCCCAAACGCTTTTGGGAAATTTTTCTATTTTTTTTCAAGGGGTTTGGGTTTTTTGGGGGGAAAAAACCCTTTACATAAATTATCATAAATAAGAGCATATGTGTAATTACCTAGGATAACCCAAAAAAGTCAGAGTGAATTATTTCCATTGGGGTCCTTGTAATCCTAAAGTAGTTGACTATCCCTGTATATTTATTACTGCTAGCTCACAGGCGTACCAAGGATAGTCTGACTTTTTGTTTTTTTCGCCGGTACTCTCCCGGCCCGGGTCTTTTCCAAGAGTGGTAACCCGGCCTTGGCTCCCTGCCTGGGGAGTATCTCGATACCAAAGTCTCCCATGGGAGGAGGTACAAATACCCCCTCATCCTTGGGACCAAGTGTCCCCAGGCCTAGCCACAGTCCCCGCCCTCACGGGGCTCGTAGGGAGAAGCTAGGCCTCTGGTCCGCCATCAGCCCCGCCCCAAAGGGGCTCGTGGGGATGGCAGTCTTATGAGCTGCAGGTGATAGCAAGCTCAGGCCTTTTCTGGGTTATCCTGGTGTGTAATTTACACATGCATTAGCGTGTATGATAATTATAGTCACCGAAATTTGTGTAACTTAAATAATAATATTATTAACAACAACAACAATAATAATAATAATAACAACAACAACAATAATAATAATAATAATAATAATAATAATAATAATAATAATAATAATCTTTATTTCTACAAGTACAAGGTATACAGACGTAGCTGACATCAATGACATACTACTATATAGAACGCCCCTTGTTATTTAGGGCATTTCGGAAAAATTATGTCAGTTCTGTCCCAGGATGCGACCCACACCAGTCGACTAACGCCCAAGTACCTACTTTACTGATAGGCGAACAGGGACAGCAGTTATCTTAAGGAAACACGTCTTAATGTTTCCACCCGTACCGGGGATCGACCCCCGGCCCTCAGTGTGTGGTATGATTGCGCCAGCAATCTAGTCAATTTATTTAGGTACAGGTACACATAAATACAGTAATACAAATTATCATACATTAGTAACATATATGTAAATTACCCAAGATAACCCATGTGTTCCTCTACCTAAATAATCTTACACTGAAACCATGAAATCAATTTAAATTAATATCTGTAAAAAACATGTTTATGTAACTTATAATTAAGTTTATTCAGGTGTAGGTACACATAAATAGTTACATAAATTATCATACATAACAGCATATGTGTAGATTACCTAGGATAACCTAGGAAAGTTAAAGTGACTTAACTTACCCTAACATATTAGTATAATTAATGCAGCACCCACATTGAGCAAGTTTCCTTACTCCTGTTATCCCTGTTCACCTAAGAGTAAGTAGGTACCCTCCTGGGTGTTAGTCAACTGTTGTGGGTCGCATCCCGGGGGATAAAATTAACTATGATCGATTGAGATAAAAGATAAGATTTTGTTCAGATTTTTAACCCCAGAGGGTTAGCTACCCGGGATAACTTAAGAAAGTCAGTGCGTCAATAACCCAAGAGAGTCAGGAGGACCACAATGGCAATAAGATACAATCCCATGATGACACACTACCTTTATTAAAAGGGTTATACTGGGTGGCTAACCCTCCGAAGCTAAAAATCAGAACAAAATCTTATCTTTTATCTCAACTGGCCATCAGTAACAGCCGAGTTGATCAGGCTCTGATCCACCACGAGGCCTGGTCACGGGACGGGCTGCGGGGGCGTTGACCCCCGATACCCCCCTCCAAATATACTTCTCCCTCCTGTTAATCTTGTCCCCAGGATGCGACCCACGCCAGTCGACTAACACCCAGGTACCTACTTGTTAAATGAACGGGGACAGTAGGTGTAAGGAAATACGCCCAGTGTTTCCACCCTTGCCGGGGATCGAACCACGGACACTGTGGCGAGAGCGTTGCCTACCAGGCAGTAGGATAACTTGTAATATTTTATTATTTAAAGCCTAGAAATAAAATACACAGTCCCCGGTAATGCAGTGACTTTTTTTGTATGTTTTTTTGTATGTTATGTTATCTTATTTAGCGAGGCTTTCACAGGAAGTAACGATCATTCTGGAAGGTCTCCCTCATTCTAGAATATTCACGTTTTCTCCAGCACTCGTCTGCCGCGACAGAAAATGATATATAAAGAGCCAGGAAGTGAAGGGAGACTCAGAACAACTCCAACTAGAGGACAGTCAGGATCTCACTCAAGCTCACAGCCGAACATTACTTGAAGAATACAAAGTTTCTAAGATAATCCTTCAGTGAATATTGTGAGTAAATACTTTCACTTGAAACAGTGTATCAGTAAATATGATTCGTGAAGGTTTGATGGAACTTCCTCCAGTGTCAATGTTGCAACACCCACTAGGGTGGTACGAAGAAGCTGCAGACATGATGGAAGAGATGATGCACATGATGAAGAGATGGAGTGATAGAGAATATTTGGTGATGAGGCCCAGCACTTGGTGCAGACCTCGTAGCTGCTGCCCCTACAACACCAACTGTGCCAGGAGTACCTACATGACAAAGCCGCTACGAGCTCCTCACAAGAGTGTTTATGTTCTACCGAACTTCCTATTGGACACCACAGGCGGCAGTGAAAGCCATAAATGCAACGATCAAGAGGTGTATTCTAACAGTTGTGTGAGAACACAGGAGTCTTGTGGTTGTAACACTGACAACACTACAGGGAGAATCACATCCAAGGGTAGCAGTGTCAACACCTGCAGCGCCTCCAATAACAATGAAAAAGATGGTGAAAGTAATCGTGAGACTCCATGGCAGTATACTGTAGACCTGAGCGGGTGTGATGAGGTGCAGGTGTCCACTAACTCACAGGTGTTGAGGGTGGAAGGTCGCGGGCAGCGTGGAAATTCTAAGACGATGGTGCAACACCTTACAACCCTGCCACAAAATATCACTGCTGACCAGATCATTGCCACTCTCAATAATGGTCAGCTCACTGTCAAGCAGAAGGCACCTCTACGTCTTGCTGATGTTATTGTCGTGCCCATTGTCAGCAAGAAAGAGCTGCAGTCAACAGACGCATCGCCCCAGCGGGAACAGTGTCAGCATCACCAACACACATCACATAGTCAAAAACAACCACAACAACAGCAGCAGCAACGAGGTCATGATGGTGAAGATCACCAGTCACACAAGCAGCGAGAACCAAGAGAACAGGAAAATCAAGCAGGAAAGACTCAAACTATTCAGATATAAGAAAGCAAATATTATAACTCAGTATTAACATTCCATTATGTTGCTAGACCAATCAAATACAAATATGTAACTACCTTATTCCACACCAACACAGCTGGCAATATCTTCTCATCTACCTCGTCTTAATGACAGATGTAAGGCAAATTTTATAATAAATTTTATTGTACTCATTTTGTTTTTTTTTTGCTTACTTTCACCTTTCCTCTCTCTATAGCAAATAATGTAAAAAAGGAATTGGATTGCTTGGAAAATCAAAGTCATAAACTTACTTATGTAAAAAAAATAATTAATGTTGACATTTTCATCTCAGAATCCTGGTTACTACCCAAAGTAAGTACAAGTACTTATACTCTGACATATTGTATTTATTATATATATATATATATAATATATTATATATTATATATATATAATATATATATATATATATATATACACACACATATAATTCTTTCAATGCACCGGCCGTATCCCACCAAGGCAGGGTGGCCCAAAAGAAAAAACGAAAGTTTCCTCCTTTTAAATTTAGTAATATATACAGAAGAAGGGGGTTACTAGCCCCTTGTTCCCGAATTTTAGCCGCCTCTTACGACACGCATGGCTTACGGAGGAAGAATTCTCTATTCTACTTACCCAGGGAGATAAAGAGGAAATAAACCAGAACAAAAACTAGTAAGAAAATAGAAGAAAACCCAGAGGGGTGTGTATATATATACGCTTGTACATGCAGTAAAAAAGACACCAGAAATCCAAACCATCATGAAAAACAATTACAGGATTCCGTTTTACACTCACTTGGCAGGACGGTAATACCTCCCTGGGCGGTTGCTGTCTACCAGCCTACTACCTACATATATTTATACAGTGGAACCCCGGATTTCGTACTTAATCAGTTCCAGATGGTCATTCTAAATCCGAAACGTACGAAAATCGAAGTAATATTTCCCATAATAAATAATATAAATCCAATTAATCCGTTCCAGACACCCAAAAATATTCACAAAAAAATAATTTTTAAAGAATAACTATAGTTTTACATACAGAAGACAATGAGAAATAAATATAAAGCCCTAATTTTAATGATAAATGAACATTACATACCTTTAGTGAAGACTTGTTGGCGTATTGAAGAAGGCGAGGAGGGAAGAAAGAGAGGTTATTGTTTGGAAGGGGAATCCCCCTCCATAAGGACTTCAGGTATCAAAGTCCTCTCTGGGGTTACTTCCTTCTTTGTCTTTTACTGGCACTGGACCTCAGTCGCACTAAAAATCTGTCCAGAGAGCTCTGTTTCTGGCGTCTCTTTAAGATTTGCCTAAAATGGGGCAAGTTATTGTCACTGAACATGTTTCAGATACGGCTTGTATCAGCTTGGTCAGGGTGATATTTTTCAACAAAAGTTTGCACCTCACTCCACTTTGCATGTCCTTAATCACTGAAGAAGGCACTTTCTAGTGGGATGAATTGTAAAGGACCTGCCTAGTATGGGCCAACAGGCCTGCTGCAGTGTTCCTCCTTTCTTATGTTCTCCCCTCTCTCTTCCTCCTCCCAGGTATATTATATGTGTCTTATTCGTGAGTCTGTGGATATTGTATACAATTAATGTAATAACTATATGCTTTTGAACTATTCTCCACAGTATAGATATGAGGGAGCACACCGATCTAGCCACTTCGTCAGACAAATTTAACAATATCCCGGTGTACTGGTTTCACACATTTATTTCAGGAATGAATTTTTCCCCAACAGTGACTTGGCAATGCCACCAACCTTGTTAAAATGAATGTATTTCACCTTTATCTTACCTAGCCTATCCTAGATCAGCCCAAATTTAGTTGGTATTATTTAACGTTCATGAAATGTATTAATTTCGTGATGTTCAGAGTGATCTTCGTTGACTTATTAGAACAATGAATGAGCACATTGTTTGGGAGGACGATCCTTGCTTGGCAGAACATGGGTGGCCCGGTGGCCTGGTGGCTAAAGCTCCCGCTTCACACACGGAGGGCCCGGGTTCGATTCCCGGCGGGTGGAAACATTCGACACGTTTCCTTACACCTGTTGTCCTGTTCACCTAGCAGCAAATAGGTACCTGGGTGTTAGTCGACTGGTGTGGGTCGCATCCTGGGGGACAAGATTAAGGACCCCAATGGAAATAAGTTAGACAGTCCTCGATGACGCACTGACTTTCTTGGGTTATCCTGGGTGGCTAACCCTCCGGGGTTAAAAATCCGAACGAAATCTTATCTTATCTAACAATACTGAACCGCACCACATATACACTGAAGGGTGTATTCACCTAGTTGTGGTTGCTGGGGGTCGATTCACAGCTCCTGGCCCAGCCTCTTCAGCTGGCCGCTACCCGGTCACTCTTCCCGCTCCGTGAGCTTTATCATACCTCTTCTTAAAGCTATGTATGGAACCTATCTCCAATACCCAGGCTATTCCACTTCCTGACAACTCTGTGACTGAAGAAATACTTCCTAACATCCCTGTGGTTCATCTGAGTCTTCTTTATCCAACTGTGACCCCTTGTTGCTGTGTCCCAACTCTGGAACATCCTGTCTCTGTCCACCTTGTCTATACCTCTCAGTATTTTATATGTCGTTATCACATCCCCCCTAACTCTCCTGTCTTCCAGTGCCGTCAGGCCGATTTCCCTTAACCTCTCCTTGTAGGACATACCCCTTAGCTCCGGGACTAGTCTAGTTGCAAACCTCTGCACTTTCTCTAGTTTCCTTACATGCTTGGCTAGGTGAGGGTTCCAAACTGGCGTTGCATATTCCAATATGGGCCTAACATACACAGTGTACAGGGTCCTGAATGACTCCTTGTTTAGATGTCGGAATGCTGTTCTTAAGTTTGCCAGGCGCCCGTATGTTGCAGCAGTTATTTGGTTGATGTGTGCCTCAGGAGATGTTCCCGGTGTTATGCTCACACCAGGATGCTTTTCCTTGAGTGAGGTTTGTAGGCTCTGGCCCCCTAGACTGTACTCCGTCTGTGGTCTTCATGACTCTGCATCTGTGTGTATCGCTCAATGTATATACACTGAAGGGTGTGTGTATTTCTCAGTGTATATACACTGAAGGGTGTATGTATCTCTGGGTATATACACTGAAGGGTGTGCGTATCAGTGTATATATACTGAAGGGTGTGTGCAACTCTGTATATACACTGAAGGGCGTGTGTGTCTCAGTGTATATACCCCGAAGGGGGTATCTCTGTGTATATACACTGAAGGGGGTATCTCTCAGTGTATATGCACTGAAGAGGGTATCTCTCAGTGTATATACACTGAAGAGGGTATCTCTCAGTGTATATACACTGAAGGGGGTATCTCTCAGTGTATATACACTGAAGGGGGTATCTCTCAGTGTATATACACTGAAAGTTTACTTTTGCAGTTATTTTAGTGAACAGTTTTCTTGAATATAGTGTAGAGGTGAGCTGCGGCCTTAATGACTTACGTACAGTCGATAACGCTTTAAATTTTAATTAGATTTTGGCAAGGAAGCAGCTAGTTTCTTGTTCGCCCATGGTGCTTAAGAAACTTGTGGACGTCAGCGTAAGGCACATGATTACACAAAATGCCTACTACGGCTCACAACAAAACACCTGGGTTTAACCCAGAACGAGAGGAAACGTTAAGCATGTTTCATTACACCTGTTGCTTCTGGTCACCTAGCATTAAGTAGGTACATGGGTGCAGTGGCGGTGCTACATTTTTTGGACCCTGAAGCTTGAACTGTTATGGGGGTTCCCTTCGCAACCCCTTCTCATACAGCAAACCCCCAAAAATTTAAGCAGTCTAGATAGTGGCTTCTGGGGCCCCTCCGGGATCAGGGGCCCTGAAGCTTAAGCTTCATTAGTTTCATAGTAGACCCGCCCCTGCATGGATGTTAGCTGATTGTTGTGGGTTCCGTCTTGGGGAAGAGGATCCGCATTGGAAATAAGCTACATGATTGGCTGTCTTGGATTATTCTGGGTTATTATCTCTCCGACTTAATAATCCTAATAAAGTCTTCTATTGAGAAGGCCCTAAACCGGCGTCTTTACAATAGCCTTCGTGGGTATATATTACTTCCATATTTTAGTTATTTAGGTCAATTAAGTGCACTCGTTCAATACTTGTTGTATTTTATTTTTCACTAACAGCATAACGTGACATACTGGATGGTGTACCGTCTCTGTTCCTCAGTAACTTAAGTTTTTTATTTGGCACTGTGTACATAGCATATGCTTTTGTTTTTGCAAGTCTCGAGGGCACTCTGGAGTTATAACACATAAAAAAATTAGATTGCAGATTCATCCTGGGATAACCCAGTAAAATCAAACAATGTGGTTAGATTAGATAAGATTCTTATTTCGAGTTATCACATTTACAAGGTATACAGTGGTCAGAGAGAACCTTAGGCTGCACAGTATTTCCAGCTGATTTATTTCTACTGTTGTCCCAACGTAGTTTTTATATATCCTCTTACCAAACATATTATCGGTAATTCCATCAAGATTATTACAGTGTAAATATGGTTTGATCATCATCAGTGTATATGCCAGTCTTCCACAAGTACTAGTAAGCAAGTCTAAGCCTGGCTACTACAACATGTTGCAGTACAAACTGCGGGTTGCTCTGTAAATATACTTATCGATGTTCGTGTTATAGTGAATAATAGATATGACTGAGCTTTAATTGCATTCCTACATAACATATTTATTATTTACTTCTCTCCTAATGTTATTTTTAATACTTGGCACAGATATACCAAGGTTATATTCAATTTCTTTGTTTTTTTCCGGAATTTTATTTTTATTTTTTATTTTATTTTTTTTATTTAGAAATTTAGCATACAAACAGAGGTACAAAAAATACAGGTAAGAGCAGCATGCCAAAGCCACTTATATGCATAGCATTACGGGCTGGCTTAAAATTAACTTAAGATTAACTAAGCAATGATGAAATCAGTGATAAGACATTATTGTAAACAGATAACTATAAAATACAAATGAGTATTACAAAGACAGGTCCTATGGTTGCATGCATTGCTGTTCATTCAGTAGAATGGAGTATTCTGTTAGGTAGTGTATTTAAAAAAATAACAAAGTTAGGTTTAACATTTGTGTGATATAATTGTAAGTAACAATTTAGGATATACAATTTATATGGTTGATTATT